GTGCTAGTTCTGTTCTCGACAGGCTGGAGGGCTGGGCTCGGGTGAACCTAATGAGGTTCAACACGGCAAAGTGCAAGGTTTTGCATTTGGGCCGGAAGAACCCCAGGCACCCGTACAGGCTGGGAGGAGTGGTCCTTGAGAGCAGCTCGGCAGAGAAGGACCTGGGGGTCCTGATGGACGAGAGACTGAACATGAGCCAGCAGTGCGCTCTGGCAGCTCGAAAGGCAAATGGGATCCTGGGCTCCATCAGGAGAGGGGTGGTCAGCAGGGACAGGGAGGTGATTGTCCCTCTCTACTCGGCTCTTGTGAGGCCCCATCTGGAGTCCTGTGTCCAGGTGTGGAGCCCTCAGTACAAGAAAGACATTGAGATTTTGGAAAGGGTCCAGAGGAGGGCGACTAAGATGATCAGGGGGCTGGAGCACCTCCCCTATGAGGACAGGCTGAGGGAGTTGGGCTTGTTCAGCCTGGAGAAGAGAAGGCTGCGGGGTGACCTCATTGCAGCCTATCAATACCTGAAGGGAACCTACACCCACGAGGGGAGTATAAACTCTTCAAAAGGGCTGACAACAGCAGGACTAGGGGAAATGGATCCAAGTTGAAGGAGGGAAGATTTAGGTTGGATGTTAGGGGGAAGTTCTTTACAAGGAGAGTGGTTAGGCCCTGGAACGGGCTGCCCAGGGAGGTTGTGGATGCCCCGTCCTTGGATGTGTTTAAGGCCAGGTTGGACGGGGTCCTGGGCAACCTGATCTGAATGTGTATGTTTGGTGGCCCTGCTGGGCAGGGGGGTTGGAACTACATGATCCTTGAGGTCCCTTCCAACCCGGGTGATTCTGTGATTCTGGTTGCTACACCTGGGGCAGCCAAGGGCCAGCAGCTGCAGCATTGGCAGGTAAGAAGAGACCAGGTGAGGCTGCAGTAAAGTTTTAATGGCTCTAACACAAAAGACTGCAGCCGCCTGCAATGACATCCAGAGAGGTTGAAAAGACAAAGAGGGAAGCCTCTACATACTGCTTCTGTCCCAAGTGCAACTGCTGTGGGTGGCTGAGATTCCCCATGGATCTTCATTTCCTTTCTCCATCCCACTCTTTTTTGTTTTCTGTTGCGGGTGAGGACAGCACAACTCTCTCAGAACAGCATAGTAAGCCCTCCAATACTCATAAAAAATGTCTGTTCTGGAAGACTGCAATCATAAACACCACCAGGAATGAAGGTATTATCAGAAAGTAGTCTTCCTACCTTCATCCTTTCAATCACTCCTTCTCCCAACCTCACAGATCATGTATCAGTGATTCCATCACAGTGAGAATATCAACCAAATACTAGTGAATACAAAAACAAGGGGATACACTCGATTTATCTACTCTCATAGGCTAAGCTACACGAGTGGATTTACACCAAAGAAACTGAGAATGAGGACAGTCATTGGTTTCCCCAGCTGAAAAGGCAACTTTCGTTTTTATTTATCCAAGTGCTTACTGCATAATTTTATTGGTAGAGGCCAACTGCATGCTAGTAAAGGCACAACAGCATTATATAGGTTTGCAAAAGCTTGAAAGATGAATGTAATTAGCAGACAACTGGAGATGAATCTCAACTTCTGTTGAGTTCTTCTTTCATGTTAAAAGTTGGCAGCAGGAGCTATTTTGTTCCAAGGCTACATGCAGCTGTAAGCCTGCAGACCTGAGGAGGTGACCCAGCACTGGTAGGAAGTGGCTGCTCCCTTCTTTCCTCTGCAGGCTGGCAGTTTGAATAATTAGAAAAAAACCATCATGACCAGCTGATGTTTGAAGAGCCTGATGTAATGGTGCCTGCAGTCCTTGCCTGAACATCACCAGTAACAATTCAATCATGTAGAAATGATTCCACAGAACCAGAGTTTTCAGAACCAAATTAGAAATGCCACCCCCTTTGCTCCCATGCATGCAGTGGTCAGACGTCAGTAATGGTCTCACCCAACCTGCAGTGAGACACGGACATGTGGGAGGACACCAGGGTGACAAGCAGTGGCCAAACACCACTGTAACATCACCACGTGTCCATGTTTTAAGGCAAACAGGAGTTGCTGAAGGTTGTTACGAAAAAAAGCAGATGCGTCAACTGCTCTCAAGGCTGAAGTTTCAGGTTTAACACAGAGCCCAGCAGATGAGCAGTGCTTGTCAATCCACAGCACATGTGGCTGCATCCACCATGTGCTTCTGGCATCAGTCACTGAGGTCCTTCCGAAAATCTTCAGCCAATTTAAGCTAAAATTATCCCAAACAGTTCAGTAACAGCAGCAACTTGTCTCCCACTGAGCACGCAGAAGCTGTAACAAACCTTCTGGAGCAGAAACAAAAAATTAACCAGGCCTGCTCCCTGCTGGGAAGAAAAAATAATGCTTTCTGATTCAATGCATAATTAAGTACACAATTAAAATATGGGAATTCCTCCATTTCTACAAGCTGCTCTTTTATTCACATCAAAATGCCATCGTTCCATTTGTGGGAAGGGAATCATCACTTCACTCAGTTACTCATGATTATTCCATCAGGCAGTCTGCCACACATCATGGATTAACAAAAATCAGAAGGCTCCTTGTAAGCAATGCATTTATTGGGAAGAAGAAACAGTAGCAGACTTAATGGGGGGTTGGACTCAATGATCTCTGGAGGTCCCTTCCAACCCCTACAACTCTATGATTAGTAAGTACTGAAATTAAACAGTCTTCGAATGGGGGAAAAAAAGGCTCCCTCATCCATAAAAGGTCAAGACAGTTATTAAAGGCAGAGTAGTGAGAGTATCAGCAGAGAGAAAGCACGTAACCATGAATAAGTCAAAGCTACTAGGAATATTAAGCTAAAAAAAAAAAAAAAAAAAAAAAAAAAAGCAGCAGCTAAAATTTGAAGATGGTTGAGGATAATCACCGAAGGGAATTTTCATCGTGAACACTCCGGAAAATTAAATAGCCCAATTCAACCACGCAGAGTTAACACAAAGAGATAATGACGCATCCCAAACAGAATGGCAACAGACTACACTCAACAGTGCCTCTGCATAGAAGCTACTGTTGTTTTGTTGCTTTCTTAAATTCTTTATTTCATTCTAAGTTTGATTATTTTAGGAACACAAATTCAACTAGGAAACTGAAGCATCAGCAGAAAAACCAGTTTACCACATCAGCGCCAGAAGGACAGAACTCTCCTATTTCAGTGCACCCAGAACTTCACAGCCATGTGAAGTTTCACTGCTCACACAGCCCTAATCCACTGCCCACAGGCCTGAATTGAAACTCAATAAGACTGCAAAGCCCCCTTCTGGACACACATATGAAAAAAAATAAGCTGTCCTACAGACAGCAGGCAAGCTTTTAGCACACAGTCCTGGTGAAGGACTGTACAAGCATTGGCTCTAACACAATACAAAAGAATCCCAGAACATCCTGAGTTGGAAGGGATCCAGAGCAGAATCTCAGAATTAAGATTTAATAAAAAGAAAACTGAAAGGGAAAATTAAGCAAAATGTATGAAAACCCACAAGCTTACCTTCCCCATTTAATGCTGAGTATTTTCCAGGCTCAGTAACACACAGAACAACTACAATAAGTTGGCTTACATTCACACTACACGTAAGACTGTTTTGTGCCTGTACCTACTTTGATTACGTGTGTTCTTGTTAATTGTATTCTGCTTTATATATTGAAAGTGTTTACTCCCTGTTTTTATGTTCTAGCCTCCAGCAATCAACAGCTTCCTAGTGCTTGAAGCCAGACATGGTTATTTTGTTTATAGCACGATTTCATATAGGACAAGAGATGCAGGCATTCTTTATGATAAGAAATATCTGGTTACTTTGAAAACACGTTACATTACATCATTAAGTGACACAAACGCATTTCAAGATACTTTGGCGAGCAGTGATTGCAGGCAGGCTGACCTCCCCCCAACAAGACATTACCATATTTGGTCTACTTAAGTAATCTACTCAAATTCAAACTTTTCTCCTGCTGCCACCATCACACCAGATCCTCACAGAAGGAAAAAAAAAAAAGCCTACACAAGCGGCAGAGCAATCCCTCACATCGCTCCCTTCACAGCCCTGTCAGCTGCCAGTTTCAACTCAAACTTCACTTAGTGGGACACCTCGCCTTGCAGGCTGCCTCCGAGGGATGGAGGTTGGATATGAGGAACAATTTCCTCTCAGAAAGCACGGTGGAAGCCCAGGTCACTTGGAGGGGTTGGAGAACGGTGGAGATGTGGTACATGGGGACATGGTCAGTGGGCACGGAGGGGACGGGCTGACAGCCAGTGATCTCAGAGCCCTTCCCCAACCTCAGTGATCCCACAGGAGGGCTGTGAGCTGGTATGGACCAGGTGGGACCGCCAGCCATCCCCCACACGGGAAGGAGGGTCGTGGGGGCAGCACGTACGGGACAAGATGGAAAAATAAAACGTGGCTTCCAAAGAAAAAAGAAGTGGCCACAGGAAGCAGAACAGGTTATCTGCCACAAGTAACGGATTCGGTTCACACCATTTGTAGGCACCAAGAAAGATTTTCTCCGGCAAAAAGCAAACTTAGCACGACCCTTTCAAATCCTCCAGCGCTGAGCCGCGAGGCGGGGACCAAAAGCCACTCACGGGTTTTTATGCGACAGCGGGCCGAGCCGGCCCGGAGCCCACAGCGCGGCGCCCAGACCCGCAGCGCGGCGAGAAGCTCGCTCTTTCCCGCCGGCCCCACCCGGCGCGGCCCAGGCCCGGCCCGCCGCCCCCCCCCGCCGCGCTCCTTCCCGCCTTTCGCTCTCGCTCGGTGACGCGAGCAGCCCGAGCCGCGCTCAGCGCGCCGCCGGCAGCCGCTTCTCTCCGCAGCCCCCGGGCCCCTACATGCACACCCCCACAACCCAGAGCACCGCCGCCGCGGGGGAAGGATGGGCCGAGCGCAGGACCGCCAACCCCGCTCCCTGCGACGGAGCGGCCCCGCCGGCCTCCACCGCCTCGGAAGCCCTGGAGAAAGGCGGCAGGCCGTACCTCGCGGGTGGTGACCTCCTCTTTCTCAGAGATCTTCACCAGCAGCCGGTCATTCTCCAGCTCCAGCGCCCGCACGCGGTCGATGTAGACGGCCAGGCGGTCATTGAGCTGCCGCAGCTCCTCCTTCTCTTGCAGGCGGGAGATGCGGGTCGGCGATAGCGGGGTCCCGCCGGGGGTGCCGCGGATCGGGGTGCCTGACATGGCGCTCAGCTCGCGGGCAGCAGGCTCATTCAATCCGGCCGCACCGGGGGAGGAGGGAGCGGTAAGATGGCGGACATCGCCTGCCCCGCCGCCGCGCCGCATGGGAAATGAAGTCTGGGCGCCAAGATGGCCGCGCGGGGCGCGCCGGGAGGAGGAGTCCGCGCCGCCGCCATTTTGTAGGCTGCCCGCCGCCTCTCCGCGCTCGCTCGTAACGCGTTTTGAATACAGTTAAGCCATTGAGACTGGGAATAAAGCACGGGAGAAAGGTTATTTAATAACCTTGTACGTAATAACCTTGACTGTGCATAAAGCACAGTCTGCTTCTGAAAGCAGACACCGCTCGTTGGGTTCGGTTCGTTTTTCCCTTCCAAGCTTGAGGGAGCGGAGCTGTGGGATCAGGGTTCCTTCTCGTCAGCCCGTGTCACAGCATGTGCAGCCCCTGTGCTCCAGAAACGGCCTCTAGGAACGAACTGCCTTCCTTGCCCCAGGAGGGGGGCATGGGTTAGCAGCAGGGCCTGCTAACCTGAATTTGCTGTGCTTCCCCCTCAGCATCTGTAGGCTGAGAACTGCAGTTTGCTGTTTGGGGTTTCAATCAACTGCTTCCTAGTGGGGATTTTTAGGAGGGCTGTTTTGCAGGCATTAAAAACGTACATGGTGATGCTGAGGAGGTGCAATGCTCCCAAGTCAGGCTGCTTAGGAAGAAAGTGCTCTTGCTATCCCAAGGGATGCTGCCAGTTCACAATGGAGCCGTTGGGAATTTTTCATTTCCTAAATATTTGGAGTATTACCTTCCCAAAGCATGTTTTTAGTGATTATACTCCGACTTCTGTAAGTTCTTACACATTTAACCCGTATAAAATGCATTAGCAGTGAATTCCTTTTGTCCCCAGCCTTGAGACTAAAAAGCACTCAGTGTGGTTTTGCATTGTGACTAACAGGGAAGGCTGAGAAAAGGAAGATTTTCCGGGAAAAACAAGTTTGAAGTTGGTGGTACAACAGCAAAGAAAAAGGAGTATGAGTGTAATGCAAGCCAGCAATAGAAGACAATAGAAAAACAAATAAGGAAATACTGCATGCAATAGATGAAAAGAAGCTCAGGGATCCAAGCTGAACAAATAGGTGTTTATGATCAAAACAGAAGCGATCTGATTCTCATGTTAGAGGGAACCTACGATCAAGTACTTGTCAAACTGGAAAACCTCAGTACAGCTCTGCTGTGGGTGAGCAGTTCTGAGTCCCTCTTGCAATTGCTGTGTATCTGTAGCAGCTGCCTGTGTAAGCAGTAGGTTTTCAGGTAAGTTTTGCTCCTCCACCTGCAGAGAGCTGAGGGCAGGGGTTTCCACAGAGCTTGCAAAGCTGTGGGTGTCAGCGGGTTACTCAGAGGGATGAAAATAATCGTGCTGATCACCACCTCATTTCTGTCATTTCTATAGGTGCGTAGGCACATCAGTATGTAAAGAGCGCTGCTGTCGGATCTTAGTCAGTGAGATCTGATATAAACTCAGTGTGAAACCGCTCTCTGAAAGCAGTCGTTTTTGCCTTGAAATGCATCTGCAGGAGGAAGCAGGAAGGACAGACTACAAATCCCAGAGCGCTGTGCCTCATTTCTCAGCAGGGAGGTCTGACCTCGCGCTCGGGCTGGGAGCCACACCAAGGACAGCCCAGGAGCCTGCAGAGCCACCTCCTTCCTCATTGTTTCCATCCCCGCTCTGGATTTGAAGTACAGTGCGTTTTTTGAATTTCGGCGCCAGTTGCAAACTGTAAACCAACTGCTGCTGGATCAGCTCCAGAGCCCAGCGCGTGCCTCCAGCCGGAGCTGCTGTGAGCCTGCAGCGAATCAGACATCACTGCCTTCCCCCGAGCAAAGCAAAAAAAAAAAAAAAACCTAATTAAAAAATAACGCTTCTGAGTGAGTGTGAAGCCATGTGCTTAGAATGAACTTGTTCTGACCCAACATGCAGTTTCCAGCACTAACAAATCTGTGGAAGACCAGTAATTACATTTGATTATATAAAGCTGAAAAAAAAAGTATTTTAGGAATGCTGAAAGCCTCTGCATAAACGTTTTTTGGGTTGGCTCATTTTTTCTCGTGATTTAACATGATGCTCTGCACATTGATCATAGTTTGGAAATTCTTTTACAACTTTTGCCTCTTTTTGATTATAATCAAAATGCAAGTTGATTATAATCCAGATGCAAGTCTGCTTTGGTCATGAAGTTTAGTCAAAACCCTTCCATTATTCTGTCAGATTTTTTTTTTATCCTATAAACTTTGTACATTTCAAGATTTTTTTTTGCCTTTTAATATTTTTTTTACAGTGATGATACCACACCACAGTAATATCTTCCTTTTATATTTATACTTCCTCACACTTGAGATCTCATATTTTCTACAATATTTAGAATGTGCCTTTCTTAAGCAGTAACCAGAACACTTGCAGACTTTCATCCTTGTTATTGGCTTCACCTCTTTGTTTGCTGAATGTGTTTGTTCACTTTTCCTCACTGAGAACAGGACACTTTGGGGAGTGGGATGGGAAGATGCCAAGGTTGCTGCCTCACCCTCTGCCCCACACTGACTTTTGTGGGCAGCACAGCACAGGTGAAAGCTGTGCATGTACAGCATTCGCTCTGATAACAAGTCAGGAGCTTGGAAGTGCTCTGGGTTCTGATGTGGAGCTCCAGCTCGGAGGTGCTTGCAACATATCTGGCTATCTGGGTAGGTTAAGCATAAATTCTTGAGACGTCAGATAATGGAGACAGCAGTGGCAGGTTCTGCCTTGCACCAGGGTGCTTCTTCCCACCAAAGACGTGAAGAGATTGCTTACAGCAGGGAATCAAGACAAAGGAAAGCCTCGCACATCCTTTGATGCTAAGCATCTTTTCAGTCGTTGGCCACTTTATAGTTTGGTGTGACGAGTTTTCTGATGCTATCTTGGATTTCATAATGATGTTGAATGCTGATACTGTCACAAAAGTGGGAACACCACATCTCCGTGGCTGATTTTTACCTCAACTGCCTACCTTTCTTAGCAGCTGCTGCAGTGTCTTGTTTTCTCATTCTGCCCCGTATTACTTGTACGTCTTTAATAGTGAGATTATTTCTGTCTTTCCTGTAGTCATCAAACTTCCCCTCTGCCTCATGTTCCTTATCTCACTCTGAACTGCCTATCTGGTTTAGTTGTCTCAGATGTTTTCATTAATTTCAGGATGAGACATGAATTGAACACACAGCCCAGAACATTTACTAGGTGTCCAAATTCAGCCCAGCTCAACAGTAATTTAAAAATTGTTAGCAATGACTTCAAGCTTGGAAGAAGTGCTCATATCTTACTATAGATTTTTATCTTTCACTGAATGAAATTGCTTCTGGCAATGTCAGGACAGAAAGCACCAAAGCAAGGAGAGAAAATTAGTAGTATGCCATGGATGAGATCTTCCTCAGCTGCTAATGAGAAAGAGGTGTGTAAAAAGAGGAACAGAGTGCACAGCTGTGGAATTAAAGCAGACAGCAAACTCCGAATAGAAGGATTTTTTTCAAGACAAGAAGACACCTCCTAATGAATAGAGGATGTATTTACGTCTAATTCCAGGCAGATCATGTTTGGTAGGGCTTCGATAATAATACTCTTCTGCTACAGCATCTTCCTTCTCATTGAGGCAGAATTCAGCCTGAACTGCAATGGGGGAAGTGTTAACCAAACCTGGGAGAGAGAACTCAGCTCTGTGCTTGTTTCTGTGGCAGATATGGAGCGACTGTCGCTATGATCACCTGGGCAGCCCTTTAGACTCTTGTGCTGCAACTGGTCTCATGTGACCAGAATTAAGAACTTTTTACAAAAAAAGAAAAGAAAAGAAAAGAAAAGAAAAGAAAAGAAAAGAAAAGAAAAGAAAAGGAGAACTCAGTTTTTCCCCATCTCAACAAAAAAGAAACAGAGGAATAAGGCGGGGGCTCAGAGTTCTGCACCTTAAAACAGTCCTGCTTTGTCACTTCTCCCAGTGGTGGTTTCTCTTACCAGTACCAAAAAGAGCCACTTCTGTCACACAAGAGCAACAGAGGAGCATTCCCCAATCAAACTCAATCAGAGCCTTTATCAGGGAAAGGAGCATTCGGTACCAAACTTTCCCTTCACTGGCTCCCCACAGCTCTGGGGTTCTTCCAAAGTAGTAAGAAGACAGATTTCTTGTTGAGAGAATACTGTGAAAATACAGCTGAAATGAAATGAGATGCACTTGGGAACAAAATGATGTCTAGCCTGGCTGCAGGCAGTCCTGGAGCCCATGGAGTCAGAGCCCTCTTGGGTTTACCTACTGATGTAGAGGTATAACAACATTAATCTAATGTCAAGATTATCCTTTACTGAAATATCAGGCCAATAATCAGATGTGGTGAGTTTGGACTTTCACACCCAGAGCCAAGTTTCATTCCAGCTGATCAATACTCGCCATCGTGCTCCTCGTGCGCTGCGCAGTTTGGATTTCCTCGGGGCATGGGCAGGTCCCCGGCCTGCTGGCAGCTGGGAAGAGCAGTGCAGGAGGGTGTGGGCTGCTGCCGAGCTGCAGTTCCCCTGAGCTCACAAAGCTGGCTTTATCACAAGCAATCCCAGCGCTGCAGGCTCCGAGAATTGCTCTGATCATTGCAGCCCCACTGGAGCTGTGGGAGGGGAGCACACACAGCTCACACCCTGTGCTGCTGTTATATAAAAGCCTGGCACCGATCTCAAACGCTGATGAAAACAAACCCAGTGTTTGTTTGTTATGGTCTTTTTTTTTTTTTTTTTTTTCCCAAAACAACCATTTGGCGCCTTATTTTGAAATCCACCAAGCACTGCTGCTGGCTCACTGCCCGTCAGCACAGAGCTATTCCACATTTCCCTGCAGCAGCTCTAACAACCCGCTGTGTACCTTGTGTCTGGCCCCGCAGGCTCAGCCTCTACAAGGTTCTCTTTGGGCTGATCTAAGGTTGTGCTCACAAACAACCAGAGCCCCCAACAGCTGGAATTCAGTGTTCAGCAAAGCAAGGTGGAAGCAGAAGTCATTGTCTTTCCTGTGAAATAGAATTGGTGAGAAGTGCTCTGT